GGCAGCCACCGGGGCTGGGGCACACGGGGAGCCCTGCCTGGGGACCTGCCCGGCTCCATCCCGATCCCCTCCTTCCCCGCACACCAGCCCCCCCCCGAGCACGTAGGGCTTTTGTAAAATAAAAATCACGAAAATGCTAATTACACTGGAAAATCCTAATGGGAACCGCCATCCCTGAACTCTTTTCCAGGGTGAATTGTGCCTGTGAGGGTTTTAGCCTCTCAGTGGTGGGTGGCAAAGGGTGGTTTTGAATAGAAAAAAATGTGTTGTGGGTAACTAATAAAAAACAGCTTTTCTTTTCTTTTTTAAGGAAAGTAAAAAGCATGTGCAAGAAAAGGAAATTAGGATCCGTCTGGTGCCAAAGGTTGAGCGCCATGATTAGTGTTACAGGCAAGCACGCTTACGTTGACCCAGTATCTCTCACACGTAGTGAAGATAACACTGGGGCCCTGGTGGAGTGAAGGGATGAAAAGACAGCACTAATGTTCTTTAAATTTCAGTTTTGTTGATATTTTTATGCATTTATTATGTTGGGGACCAGAGGCCTTGTAGACACAAGAAGAGTAGGACAGGCAAGCACCAAAAACCTTGCAGACTAAGTCAGGACAGTGGGTAGCTGGAGGCGGGAGACTTGCTTCTCCTCCCCAGGACAAGTGGAGTGAGTCCAGCAGAGGCCACAACCTGCGCTGACCTTGAAGGTGGCCCTGCTCTGAGTAGGGGCCAGACAGTCTCCAAAGGCCCCTTGGGATTATTCTGTGAGGGACAGCACAAGGACACCATAGGGAGGAGTACTGCGATTTGCTGAGGATCACTTAGTCTACCGTTTGGCTAGGGAGGATTTATACCCACCTCCCCAAAGAAAAAGGCAAAGGTGGAGGACGAGTGCTCGTGGTGTATTGCCAGCTGTGCCCTCCCTGACCCCTCGTCTGCCTTTTTTCAGAAACACGAGTTCTTTGTGGACATGACCTGCGAAGGCTGCTCCAATGCGGTCAGCCGTGTCCTGCACAGGCTGGGAGGTGAGTCAGTGCTGGGAGTGTGGCAGCCAGCTCACCGGAGCAACGCCAGCTCCGGGGCAGGACGTCACTGCCCTGGGGTCCTCTGTCTTGTAAGGGTAACACTGGGTAAAGGCTAAAAGTGGCTGGTTGGAAACCTCTGCTCCCCGCTCTGCTCTGAGCTTACTGCTTAGTCAGTAATGAGTCACTGGTTGTTAGTAGGGCTCCTGTGACCCCTGGAGAAATGTCAAGGGAGAGAGAAGCTGCTGTGGCTGCAGGTGGCTCTGAATCACCAGGGCCTCATCCTGAACTCTCTGGGAATGGCACTGTTAGATCCCTGCTCAGGTCCCCAGAAGGAAGGGAGGTGGATGTCCTGCCAGGCATTGTTCCCAAGGAGGCCTGGGGTATCTGTGGTGCTTCCCTAAATGTGTCATCAGGAGTCACAGTGAAGAGCTGCTGAGCAGAGCATTTAGTGGTTGCCTGTGCAGCCTGTTTTTAATACCACCTGGAAAATTATAACCTGTGTCTCCTTTATGCTGGTATTACCAAGAGAGAAGGATCTGGCCTGCACTCACCAGTTGTGAGGGCCTGTTATCCTGCTCCCCTTTCCTCACCGAGTGAGAAGAGCTTTCCTTCACCAAGGTGAAGACCTTGGGACTTCTTCCAAAGCCCATTACCAGGCTGTAGCGATCCCACTTCCTCTGTGTGTGATTGTCAGCACCTCCATCACTGTTAAACATGCTGGCCAATATCAGCCTGATGTGATGATGTGGCAGAGCTCTCAAACCTGATACATACATACCTACAAGTTTTGTGAAAATATGTGGCCAGATAGAGACTTCACATCCAGTTACTTTCGCTGGGCTGAGAGTGGCTTACCACTGGGAAATCCATATGAGAAAGTGTTTTTTCCCTCCCCCTACTTACAGCTGTTAGCTGGTGCCACCACTGAGGAAAGCTGTCCTGTCCCTGCCCTAGCCCCTACACTAACTCCCTCATTACTGCCCATCCATGCTAAACCACAGCACAAACTGAGCTGCTTGGAGATTATGGTGGTTGGTTTCAACTCAGCTCATTCTGGTTACTGTGTGAGTGATTGTGCTGATCTAAGTTGGGGTGAGCAGATTAAAGCAGTTGAGAAACCGTGGTGCCCAATGCAGATCTGTAGGAGATGTGACTTCCTTCACACCAGAGCTGGCAGGATGCCAGTTTGTTTTGCTGGCTGGTGGTAATATCAGGGTTTGCTGGCAGGAGGCACACGTATGTTGGACTGATGGCGTTGGGAGCATGGCTGCTTTTACCTGTGGAACTTGTTTTTCCCTTCCTTGTAGGTGTCCAGTTTGATATTGACCTGCCCAACAAGAAGGTGTGCATTGACTCGGAGCACAACATTGACATCCTATTGGAAACCCTAAAGAAGACTGGAAAGAATGCTTCCTACCTTGGGGAGAAGTCTGCACAGTAGCCTTGCCTGGTGTGAAGAGGCTAGGTATATACCAGGTGTATGAAATGCTGAAGAGAGAGATCTGAGCTTTTTCCAGCTCTCCCAGTAAAACAGGCTGCTTCCTGGGAAGCACAAAGTAGGAAAGACTTGCAGGTCTAGCTTCAGCAAACCCCTCGTTTGGAGAAGCAGCAGGACTGCGTACAGCCAGCAGCATTTCTGTATGGGACCCCTTAGCTACTCTACAAAGCCCATGTGATCCCAACCGTGGTTGTGGTGGAGAGGTAGAACACAGCCTCTGTGCCATTCCCAGGTGAACCTAGAGTTTGCCAGAGCATATTGTGCATGAAAACAAATCCCAGAGAATTCACAGCTGACCAGAGAGAGTGGTGGCCACCAACAATACCAGGGAGGGTGATGGGACACAAAGACCCGCTCTGGGTACGTGATGCAGGGGGTTGGTTTTTAGCACAAGGACCTCCAACATCTGATTCTGTTGATATGCTGTTAATCCTCCACTAACCTCAAGGATGGAAAAAGAGCAGCACTCTGCTACCCTCATGGACATAAAATGTTGGGTTTCAGAATAGCTCCCAGTGCACACAGCCCCTGGCTAGCTGGACATCTATCCCAAAGATAACCTGATGGTTGCAGCCTGTCAATTTTCCTAGAGTCCCATCACTATGAGGACATGTACAAAACTCTTTCCTGACTCTGAAATGTTTTCGCAGACAGGGTTCGTTTTTAGTGGAAAAGAATGAAGTAAAAGGAGAGGGCTGCCTGCTCACTGCATCTTAGTGTCCAAGATTATTATATTGCATCTTTTAAGAGCTTGTTTCTGTCAGTGGAGCTTTCTAATCCAATGACATTGTTTTAAAATGGTCTAGTTTGATCATCACAAATACCCAGCACAGATGCACTAAAACCAGTTCATGCTGATTTAATTCCCAGTCAGTAAATTAAATCAGGGATTTACACCAGCAGGAATTAAACTGATACAAGAAAGAGCTGAGCTCATACTGATGTGTGTGTGTGCAATAGATCTGCATTATTTTAATAGACTGATTTAACAGAACAGATTTAAAATCTGCAATTTGTATCATTTGAGCAAGCTCTCAATGCTTCTTAGAAATTGTTTAAAATCATAGCTTTAATCAAGTAACATTGCGATTTAAAACAGAAACATACTCCAAATTGATTAGTGTCTCAAATAGCTTTCAGCTTGTAGTATTGACTGCAGAGCTGTTTTCAACTTGCAGGGACTGGTGGACTATGTCTCAAATGCCGTCAAAAGTTAACCGTTACAGCCAAGCCAGTCTCAAATAATGTGGATGTGTCCCTTTTTTCCCTGGCCCTGTGTTCTCACCACTTCCCTTGTATTACATCAAGGCAGCTAGGGAGTCACTTCAGCTGGCCAACCTGGCAGAACATTTCTGTCCATGCTTTTGTTTTCCTATTGGATTTTAACTAAAGCTATTTGACCTACCCAAGGATCTTAAGATCCAAAACAAAGGAGAGGATTGGCTGGACTGCCCTTGCTAGTAGTTTGCTGCTAGATCACTTCAGCTGTCATGGGAAAACCCACTAAATTTAAGTTTTACAGCACATTTCCCTCCATAGGGAATATTTTTAGGGGTTCATCTATAAAAGGAGGGAGGGAAGTTGCAAATCACTGGCATAGACCTAGGCTTTCCTTTGGCTTGTGACCGGCAGAGGGCAGCTTTGTATAACTTGATCTCCTCTGTGCCTTGGGGTTTTTTCCCCCCCTCTTTATTTATTTCTTTATTTATCTATTTTGCAGGAACTCAAACATGACCAGCAAAAAGATGGCTTAACTGTTTGCATATCTTGCTCTCTCATTTGACCTTTACTACCCTGCCAGATGTCGGAAAGCAGAGGGCTGGCAGGAGGAGACAGCTGCATCTTGGGCTTTAAAAGTGGAGAAATCTAGAGGAGGAGGTTATGTGCTGTTTCTGGTCCCACAGTAAATCGAGGCGCTGCTTCTATCTTTCAGTGCATGTCTATGTGTCTTGTGTGTCTTTGTACTGCTTTGAGTGGTTTTCTGTACAAGAGATGGCTCTTAGGGATGGTAAACTACCCATTACATGCAAGACAGGTCTCCCAGGAAATTGCACCTATCTTTAGAAGTTGACTGCAATCTCTGCCTGAGGGACAGGTCTCAGGAGAACTGAGCTTGAATGTCACTTACATTCAGGGAATCTGTGTCTTGGCAGATGTCTTTCCGTCACAGAGCAGACCAACTTTCCATTTGGGATGAAGGTGCTAGGAAGAAGGGACTCTTGCAGCCCCCGTAAGTCAAGAATAACTGAGTGTCCCTTTGAGCTAGATGGGGCCATGAGGCAGAAGTCACTGGACCCCAGCAACATGATGGACCTCATAGGCCAACAACGCTGCAAGTAGGAGCAGGGAAAACAGACTCAGCCTAGGTTTAGTACAGTGCTTTTCAGGGCCCTGCATGACCATATAAATCTGAGGAGTCATTCTGGATCCTGGGCCCAGCTCAAGACACCTGGATCCGCCCCTTCCCCTAGCAGGTGTTCCTCTTGCTCCCTTTCCTGCCCACTGACAAAATTTCAACCAAATGGGTAATAGCATCATGGGGCCCTGATGCTGGGCAGGATCTCCAGGTGCTGCATGCACCCACAGACACAGCGGGAGAATGCCTGTGCTGATGAGAAATGAAGGGGTGGTGGAAGGAGAGGGGTGTGAGATTCTCTCTGAGATCTTGTATTTCTCAGCCCAGTGACCAGCGTTAGGGACTATACTGTTGATTTGTCCAGCTTCCATCCATTTAATTCAGGTTTTCAGGCCAGTGAAAGGATTGCATGTGTCTGTCCCAGTCTGCTGTCTCGTTTCCACTGGGGGGTGTTTCCCATGCCTACTATTCACATGTGACTTGTTCTACAGAGAGGAAAACTGACAAAAGTCTGAAGGATAAGGTTACTCTATATTCAAAGAGAATTTTCATACTTGTACATTGAGATTACTTTTGACATAGTTGCAATGTCTTCTTTCCTAGAGAGGTTTAGTACTTCCAAGTCCTTTACCATTGAGCTAAAGCACAATTAATTGCTGTAGTTGCACTTGCTGGAGACACTTCGAGGAAGGTGTTGCAGACGCATTTTATTACTTTTTAATTTAAGGGAAGCTAAAGGATAGAAGTCTAACGTCACTGCATTACTTCCTTGCATTAAAATCTCCCAGTGGCAGGAAGTTTCCAGAGCCATGGCCCAGAAACACAACCTATTTCTGCTTTCTGCCAGTGCACTCAGATGCACGACATGATGCCTTCGGGGTCCTGGGTGAGTGAGTGAATCCCTTTTCCTAGCCCCTCCCTTGCTAGTCTGAGCTGGTGTTTGCCAGTGTTAGT